GTGGATTAAGATCCATTAAAATATAATTTACTGAATTAAGGAATACTGTGCGGATTAGCACGACGTATTAAACATTTACTATTGAGTCCAAATTCACCCTACTATACTACGACACAAACTAGGTAATTTCAGGTTAACATATGGTACAATTTTATTTCAATAATTCGCTTGCATGTGGATCTTTAGCAGTAGGAGGAAACCGGAGAAACCCCGCGTGGTTGGACAGAGGACAGTAATTAGTGTGCCGTGTATCTTAAACAGTTAGATAATTTCGTGAGAATCAGAGCGAAACTGCCCGAAAAAATATATGAAAGTTGCACCATAATTTCGCTAAATCTGACTGCCGACAAGGACATCTCTTTTCGCTACCAAAAATACATAAAAATCCAGAAACAGAATGGTTTATACCTAATAAATTACCCAAAGGGACGCCCGATAATATCAGACTGTGGCAGCGAATCATACATCGTATCACAATATATAGACTATTTCTTATTACCCCAAGCATGCCAACACGCATCCTACCTTACAGACACTAAGGATTTTATTCACAAAATCCAACAGTTAAGAGTCCCTGAGCAGACAGACCATTATAATATCCATCTAGGTACAGAGCATGCACACGAACATCGATAACATTAATAACATAGGTATTGAAGCAGTTAGGAAAGCATTTCTTAGGAACCCTCAAGCATCCACACCGGACGAAGAAATCCTTAAATTACTCGACATCTGTTTGAGGAGGAATGACTTCACATTCAACGACCAAGTACTGCAATGGGAAAAATCTCTTCATGGCGGAGTGGGAAAAGGAAGTTTTGCCACTGCCCATTAAAACCAGATTTCAATGGACGTTTTTAGTTAACGTTTTCATAGTCTGGACGTACACACTAGAAGGATTTTGGACGTTTTTCAACATTCTGAACAATCATCATCCTATGGCGGTATATTAGATTCAAAATTCCAACATGATATCGTCTAATTTCTAACTTCTATTCATGCAATTTCTAACTTCTATTCGTGTTATCTGTAAATTAAGACACTGTATAATCCAACTCCTTTATTTGTTCAGTGTAAATTTGAATTCTGTTTCATCTTATTTCTATTATTACGACGAAAAATGTCTACTTTATTGACGCTTTACAAGTTAATCATGAACGTCGATTAAATTTAGAATTTTGATACTTCTACCTAGCAACCATCATTATGACGTCGTTTGAAGGCCCGACGGAGTCGGGGGGGGGGGGGCAATAATTTAGTACCCTTTTCTCCAGGTTATTGCACGCAAGTAACTATTCAGTTAGATACAGTGACGTAACTGGAAAAGACATAGAAGTGAGACTTCTAGAAGTGAAACGTAGACTTTCAGAAGAAAAAACCTTGCTATGTTCTATACTGATCGCGATTAGTTAACTTTACTGAACAGTCGAATATTTCATTCCATGACAAATTAGCTAATTAAAACACGACGGGATAGATTTTTTCTAACATTTTATTGCAGGGGCTAAAGCTCTACAATGGAAGGTCTCGTGTGTACCAAAGTGAAACTCATCAAAGAACTTTTGATCCTCAACACATAGTTTAATTTGGCATAACTCTAGAACGCAAGGTCCGATGCGCACCACACTTGAACTCACCCGACACTCGTTATAAGTTTCGTCGAAATCGGATACAAATTATTGCAACCTTGGTATTACATACTTTTACACTATTTGCGTAAAGGGGAGCGGCCATTTGACGGGAAGTAATTTCGGTCCGATTTTCAGGAAATTCGGACTCAACCATAATTATGCAGGTGTAAAGGTGATATATTTGAACTATTTTGAAAATAAGATAAAAATTGCTACCTCTAGAGGATCCACAAGTTAAAAACGTGATTTTTCGTACAACCACGGTAAATGATACAGAAAGTTACGGCCCGATTAGCGCAAATCGGAAATTGGACTAAGTCGTAATGGTGTAACTGTGATATATTTCATTAAAAATTGTGACCTCTAGGATGCCCACAAGCTAAAAATGTGAGTTTTCGTACAATCAGGGGCCATAATTCAAGATGTTACGATTATAAACATACATTGTAAGTTTCATCAAAATCGGATAAAAACTGTGACAACCTTGGTAATATTATGTATATATATTTGTCCAGTTCAACATCACAGGAAATCACCATCGACTGCAGTGATTTCTTGGTAAGGGGTTAAAAAAAAACCCATAAAAACCTCATTGCTGAATAATTTTACAAGCCATAAATCGCTTAGAAAGTGTCTCCAACGATCTAGATCCCCGGGAGATTCCGAAGACTTGGCGGCCCCTGGACCCTCGCCTAAAGTCCTAGGACACTAGCCCCCCCCCCCCCAAATCAAGAATTGATTCCACCGGCCCTGTCATCTCTGGGAGCCGGTATTGGGTTTTCTTCCTCTTAAGAAGTCTCACTTGTATATTAAAATCTTTGTTTTAACCGAATAGTTACTTGCGTGCAATAACCTGGGCAAATAAGTACTTGCGGCCAAATTATCGGGGGGCCTGGAATGACAGTCTTAGTGGAGGAATGACAAGCTCACTAGATGAATAGGGAGGTTCATCATATAGATGACAGAATGATAGCTCCAGCCGAGAGAATGGCAATCAGAAAAGAAACGCCAAGTGGAATATCATTCGCTTTGTCATACGTCTACGGTTTTTATCCCGGTCATTCTACGTCAAGTCATTCATTTTATCACACTGATTAGCAGTGAATATTCGCTAGGCCGCTACAATCACTGATAAGGATGACATCAATGCGACTTAATAAGTCTCAAATATTAACTTTTTTCCACTGACAAATTAAGTCTCAAATATTAACTTTCCCCCCCCCCCCCGACACTTTAAATTCTAAAACATTTTTTGATGTATTTAGTGTAAATGGGTATTAAAATGACTAAAAGGCAGCATTCTGCCAGAAGCAGTAACATCTTACGTAAACAATGTACGCGCCATTCAGCCAATGATCGATGCTGTGTGCTGTCACGGCACGTGTTGAAGGCAGTCATCTTTTACAGAGATATTAGAAGACTTTCGTAATTCTCTGTGAAACAGATTGTCATTTTATATTTTATGAGCGGGCCATTCTCTCCGTTATATTTGGGGGGTGGATGGCTGAATGGTTAGCGTGCGCGCGTTGTATCATAAAGTCTGTCATTGAGTCGACTGGCGTGGTTTCGAATCCCCGGTTGTACGTGGCAAGGAGTAGGGTCACCTGTCCAACCTCGTGGGTTTTCTCCGGGGCCTCCGGTTTCGTCCCACTGCCAAAGACCACTACGCGCAACCATATGTTAGTCCCGAAATGACCTAGTTTGTGTCGAGTGGACCCCTAACCATATGTTAGTCCCGAAATGACCTAGTTTGTGTCGAGTGGACGTTAAACCCCATTTCTCTCTCTCTCTTTCTCTCCGTTATTCCTCTTCTCTTATCATTCATCTTATGAACCTCTGTCATTCTCTTGTCATTGTACCTAATGAACGTTATAATATATACTCTTCAAAAAAAAGTAGGGGATATTCAGAAACTATACAAAACTGCGGAAATGCACTGCTGTTTTTATTAGAGGTAACCAGTGTATGTTAATAACAGGCCAATTGCCTACACATGAACATAAACAGTTCATATGGGCGGCTTATCTGACGGCCCCATTTCACTCGCAAAGCGATACACTGTCAAAAGTGAAAATGGACGTTTTTGATTTTTGTCTTAATAATGAGTAATTACTCCACCAATCCTCAGACATTCAGCAATTCGTCGTGGCATGCTCCTAATCACGATTTGGGGCAATCTGACCCACTCCTCATGCAGTGCCACGGCCAATTCCTGCAGTGTTGTTGGTTGACGTTGACGTCGACGAACACGTCTCCCGATCATGTCCCAGGCATGATCTACAGGGGAAAGGACACATGGCTGGCCAAGGCATATGTACAATATGGTGATGCTGGGGGTAGTCATTCACGACACGAGCCCGTTGGGCACGGGCATTGATTCCTCCCCACACCATAACAGACCCACGCCCCCGAATCTGTCATGCTCTCTGACATTAACGTTAGCATGACGCTCATTTACACGCCTCCAAACGCGAGCACGCCTATCGGTCAAATCCAGAGTAAATCTGGACTCATCTGAGAACATTACACGTGCCCATCAACGATTACGATTACCCCAATTTCTGGGCTGCATGTAGCCGATTTCTAATCTTTTGGAGTGTAACTCGAATTCCTGTAACTTGGTACAAGTTTACAGAAAGCTGATTGGCCGTTTGTCCTCGATTTCGCAGGACCTGTGTACGAATGTATCGATCCTGGGCTTGTGTAGTGGCTCTAGGACGACCTGAACGAGGTCTATCATAAATATTGTTGGTACCAGTTCCACAGTCTGCTGACCACAGACTTTGACACATTAAGCATGTTGACTACTGCTCGCTGTGTAGAACCCATTTGAAGCATGCCAATAGCACGCAGACGTTCATCATGTTGAAGGCATCTCATTGCAAATTAAACGTAACACACTAAAGCAAAGATACGCTAAACAGTAAACCCTATGCAAGAACCGACAGGAAAGCAAACATGCATAGGATAAACCAGCACGCGGCAGTTTTCATCAACCCTTCCTTGAAGTGTCAAATTTGACAATGAACCCCTCCCACGTGTATGGGGCTATTGCGTGTCGTATGTGCAGCTCAGTGGTTCTGTTGGGGTGATAAGTTCTTCATCTGTGAACATACTCTCGAAGCATGTCAAGTGTCCATGACTATTTATCATATCACAACCTGCATAGGTATTTGCATTTCAATATCCCCTACTTTTTTGGAAGAGTATATATATTTTATTATATTCGTGTGAGCGTTTTGTCATTCCTCAAATATAATTGTCAGTCTCAGGGGTGGACTGGCAGTGATCAGGGTCCTTGAGAAAACATGGACATTGACCCCTCAAACCATCCCAATCAATGGTCCATTTCATAAACAAAGCCAGAAGTTATCCCATACTTGACTTTATTTTTATACAGGAAAATAACAAATAATATGATTATTACAATAACAGTTATCTATAAAACTGGTTTTATCATTTCACTTCCTTGGCGGATTGATCCTAAGTATAAATTCATTTGGAGGACTGGGGGTTGCCACTGATAGAGAAACCCATTCCAATCCATGAAATAGGGTTTAACATCCTACTTTTCTGTCCTATCAGGGCTAATGAAACCAAGCATATGCCATGCAGTGTGCTATGAGAGAAATTTTGCCAGGATAGCGGTGTCACAACCTACTCAAGGGTAGTTTTACATGCAAGCCAATTTTTCCATCCCTTCAAACCACTATATACTGTCCACTGTCAGAAAATCCATTCTGCACCTCTGACCAGGGTTAGCTACGCTGGAAAATCCAGAGGAACTTTCTAGGCATACATCTGGGTCAAACCCGGAACTCCTGGTTAGCAAGCTAGTACCCACTCACATTCCATGAAACCATTAAATAGTGTTGTGCTAAGAGGGGAAACTTATTTAAAAATTTGTTGTCATTTGGTATAAGGGAGATAATATAGAAAAGGTGGTTATATTTTTACATTCGGGCCCACTAATAACCTGATAAAATGTCATAGAAAACTGTCCATAAATAACTGGATGCCAGTTTATTACAGCAAATTCGGCACTTTCAGATCACGCTGGGAGTTTCAAAATACCACTAGTCACACCCACTTTCCCTGAATATGGACGACATTCAAGCCCTATTTCTCGCAAGATCGTATATATTTGTATTATTTGTTGAATGGAATTGAAAAATAATATTCTTAAAGGCTAACTAAAAAACACTTGTTTGTCAAAATCCTTTCACTTCCGGTAATAAAAGCAATTTTCTAATGATATTTTAAAATCAAATAAAAGTTAACAAATGCCAGACAAGCACAGACATTTCAAAATAGCTTTATAGGCTAAGTCACATCCACTTTTCCATCAAGAACGAAAATATCAAATCATTTCAATGAGGAGCAGCCAAGAAATTATAATCGAAACAATCATCTTTCACAAAAGGTCCATGAAACCTTTATCATAAAAATACTAAATAACTATTAGAGACTAAGTACAAATACATATATTATAATTACTGTTCTTTAATTTACCCTATTATGTCATTATTATCATTAATTATAACATGGTCTTAATATGAATAGATATTATTAATAATATAACAGAGTGTATATTGTTATAAAAGCACTATAAACAACAGTCTAAATTTAATACTAAAACAATCATATAAGTAAATATTCTTATAATTATATATGTCTACTACATATGGCATTTATAGATTTATTTGCCCATAGGTACACAAATTAATTCAATTACACTAGATGCTAAACAAAATAAGACCTCTTAAGCATATTAATTTAGGTATCAACAATCTGATTTTGTTTCATTATTTGGTTTGTCACTCCTTTAACATCTATAACAATGTTAAGTAAAAGTGTGTTCTGGGCCTGTAACAAGAACACAAAAGCACCATGGAACTTCACTGGCAGGATGACAGAGAGCTTACCAATAAAATTTTGAGCATTGGACCAAAATAAAATATTGGTATAATCTTAATTAAACTAAGATGCAATATAACTGAGTTTGAAGCTAATTTTTATTAAGTACTAATTCTGTGCACCCACTGGAGAGACAAGAATATTATACATACTTATGATATATTTCTGATATTTGTTACTGGAATCATTTAAATGCCATCATAAATGATTACCTGAGAGTTTATACTTTTATTCTAGAACTACTGATTAAAGTTACCTATTAAAAGTATAAAGATAGGTTGCTAGGAAACAGAACATACACCCACAGCATCTAAGTCATCTGAGCAGTCCACAAATATTTATTCTTTTATAGATAATAGCATTTATACGAGAACAAGCCAACAGTGAGGCTGATGTCCCCTGCCAAAATCCATCAATAAATAGATGATACATATTATTTTATTGCACATCATTTATCCTTTTCAAAAGTAATGAGCAATTAAGCTTATTATCTATACTTAGTCTAAGCATAAAATGTTAATGATCAAAGTAGCCGGTAGTGAAACTATACACTAAGTTTAATCAGTCTCCATCAGTTTGAATCAAAGTTATCTTATCTTGATAAGAAATGGGGTTTAACGTCCACTTGACACAAACTAGGTCATTTCTGGACTAACATGGTTCAATTTTATTTCAATAATTTGCTCAGCGTAGGGATCTTTCGCAGTGGGAGGAAACCGGAGGACAGGCGACCCTACTCCTTGCCACTTACAACCGGGGAATCAAGACCATGCCAGTTGACTCAATAACAGACCTTATGATAGAAACTCAATAGGTTTCTCTGTCTCAAGACATTAACACTGTGTATACATGTAAAGTCAATCAGATGACAATCTGATTAAAATACAGATCTATATTTCAGTTGTTTTTTTATACTTTCGATAGCCTACACTACATGAAGATCATTAATCAATCAGCATTAACGTTTCTAGCGGTTTACCCACAGTTTCATGCAGAGCACGCCAAGAACTCGCCGTAACAAACCGTTTCATTGGCTAATTCCTCACATCAGATCCTAGTGAAATGAAATTTTGAACTATAAAAAATGAAATGAAATAGGATCTGTGTTTTAATCAGATTGATCAGATGATAACTTTCGTTACTAGAGTGTCCAAACTGATCAAGAGCCATAACTCTTGCAGTCAGTGTGACCATATGACTATGGGGGTACTCGATTGAACGTTCCGGAATTGAATTCCTTCAATTCCAAAAATAGTGACAATCGAGTGAAAAGGTGGATTTCGGGCTACAGCGCATGCGTCGACTGAATTAGTAAATATCTCAACCAACCGTGCAGCTGAAACCTTTTAATTACGTCACGATTCTACTCACACCACCTCCGCTGTTGGGACTGACAGAACTGTGACAGAACTGAATTCCGCGTTACTCGATTGCAATTATGTCAATTCGGGACGTTCTGGACTGTGAATCGAGCATCCCCTATGAAAGTGTTAAAGGGAGATAACTCTGACAGGAATTACCGGAAATCAATAGAATCCCTTGTCTCAGAAACTTTAACACTGTATAAATTTGAAGTGAATCGAATGATATCTTTAACCACAACCAATAGTGGATGGTGGCCTGACAGTTGGGGGGACGACAATGTACACAACATTTCAAGGGGGCGGGGAGCATATAAAAAAGATATTTAATTGTTATATTTGAATGGCATAATGCCATAAGGCACAGACAGTGCCTTTTTGTGGCTTTCGTGAAATATATTCTTTCCAAGGTGTTCTCAGAATAAAGATCACAAAATCTTAATCTTGGTCACACAATACGTTTTGGCTAATTACAATGTATATCATTAAATGTTTTGAAAAGATCTTTATTTGTCACAGTAAAGACTGTATAAAACTGTTTTGTCTAAATCAGTAAATTTAAAGTTGTAATGGTAACATGATTAGACTACCATTTTTTAGTCCGACTGCTGAACCACTTCAAATCATCGTGATTTACTAATAGACAATCAAGTCATTGTAATTTACTATTAGAAAATCAAATCATTATGATTTACTAATAGAAAATCAAAAGTGTAAATCCAGCATTAGAAAAATCAGATCTTGACAGATTGTTTATTATTATGCATTTGATCTACTGCAGTCAAACCATGTTACCAACAAATATTGATAGGGGAAAATACAAACTACCCAATAACAAAAATATTGGAAAATCCATGAATACTTGAAAATCCAAACATTAAGTGTACAGTCAAATTGAGTTTACCCCCGAAAAAAATCCAGAAAAAAATCCAAATTTTTTCTACATTGATTATATGGAAAAAATCAAACTTTACTTAACATGTAGCTTTAAGATGATTGTGTAAATTTGTTTAATATCTTGTTTGAGAGTACACTGAGGTAGATATAGATAGATACATAATACATATATTTACCGGTACAATATAATATTGCTGCTTATAAGTTTTGAGTTAAATATTTTATGTGGAATATTCTTTAAAATGTTTTGTACAAACATACATAACAATTACATTTCTCTCTTTGGTTTGGTCTCGTCCATAACAAAGAATTAAAATAGATATCTTAGAAAATACATAAAATGAGGATATAAATATTATGACACAGAGATTTACACACCTACAGGTATTTCTAACAATTGCATGGAACTATTTCAAGATATTTATATCTACTTTCAGACTTTTTTTTTTGACTGGAACTGTTCTTTGACAGTTCCATGTTTTCATTTCTGTTTTGGTTGTTTTTACTTAACAGGGTTTCTTTTGGCTTTTGTGATTGGTAAATTTCACATAACATTGGTGAATCTGAAAGTCCATCTGATTGGCCAATTTGGTTACAAATATCATCTATCACTTTTTCTACATTGTTGTTTTGATCACCTGATTTAATATTCAAAATGGTTGTTTTGACATTTTTGAGATCACTTTGATTGTTGGATTGATCATTATATTGTGTTGGCTTTGATTCGTTATTTTCATCACTCTGTTTTTTATTATTTGTATTTTGATCCCTGTCACCGGTAGAATCATTATTAGCTGCAGAATTTGAAAAAAAATCAATATGCAGATTTCCCTGAGGTACAGCAATTTCGTTGCGTAAGAATACAACAATGACAGATATATTATCTGTGGAACCATTTTCTCTGGCCAGATCTACGATTCGATGAGCTGTGTGGGCTCTATTCCCATGATGTTCTTGAATATGATTGTAAACAATTTCTGGTATGTCTTTTGGCGAAATGACATCCCACACACCATCACATGCTAATACAATATAATCTTCATCACCATCTAAATCGGCACTAAACACATCAGCATCACTGGAAATATACGGTTTATAAGACTTGTCACCTAAAAAAGAAAATTGTTTTCTTTATTCTGCAGGTGATCCTATCAGGTTTCTCATTTCCATCACATTTGTATGTCAGTTTACATACTATGAAATAAGCTGTTCTTAAGAATTACAGTTTGAAACAGCATAAATATTACTACAGTAAATTCATTTTTGTCTGTCCAAAATTCTACACAAAATTTTCTGAGGTAAATCTGGGGTTAAATTTGGAAGAAAATGTCTATACATGTATTGTAACTGTGTACCCAATAAACAAAAGGTCTTGGGGAACAACACAATCTACCGGTAATAACTTATAGACATAGTAACGATAGTTGAGACATGCTATTCAAAAGTTGAAGATATATCAAGACTGGTGGTCATCAGTACAATTAACAATTTAGTTTTAAACATACAAAAGGACATCTACTCTTATATTTTAAATTCTCCATCATATGGACAGGGTAGTTTAATAATATCAGGATCTTGTCAATGGTTTGGTTAGCTATTTCATGTAGCATGGTTCAACTTGGATTTTAAATGTAAACATGGACATACCTCTAGTCAACAACATGTATACATATTAAATTTACATTAATATACTCTACCTATTGCCCTTGCTACAGCTATAGCACCATTTACTCTCCAGGTACCAAACCAAACAACTATACCACCTAGTTTCTCTATTCTTTCTTTCTCATCCTGTTACAACAGATACTATATTAAACATCAGTTATTTTACCCCCCACCCCCCTCTTCATTAGCCCATTTGGTGCGGAACAGAAAGATTTAAACCCCATTTCATTACTAATATTAATATTATCAATATAAAATTCAACAAAACTGATAAAACAGCTAAATCGTCTGAGCAGTCGACATGGATTATTCTTGTGTAGGTAATGGGAGCATTTACAAGACACTGATATTAATTTCTTACAGATCACCAGGTTCACAAGGTTAAAAAAAAGTAGAACAAGGCCCATAACGTTATATAAGCTTACAGAAATTGTTAAAATTCAATAGGTTTCTTCATTTTACGAACATAAATGAATTTAAAACAGATCTGGTTTATGTGATACTGTACGTAATTATAAGAGCTAAGCTTTGATACTTACAGCCCTATCTGGTTTATGAGGATTCATGACATCAACTGTTTGTCCATCTTTCACTAATACAGCCTGAGAATCACCTAACCATGCAATATGTAACTTAGAACCTTGTTGTAATACTGATATACCAGTTGTACCACTCTTTAAATTCTATTATAATTATAATATAAAAGCATAGTTTTATCAATGATTACTGTTTCACTCTTTCAACTATACATTGTATGTGGATATTTTACAGTTTTGGGTCCACTTACATGTATACATTTAGTTCTTCAAAATTTCAAACAAACCATGTTTTCTATTTACCTCATTCTTAGCCCTAATAAGAAACCCCTCATCTGTTTGTTTATAAGCTTGTTTTAATGCTGCAGCTGGATCTGTAAGAAAGTTAGGCTGATGTACAAGATTGGTATGTAGATGACTGGAAGCATACAATGCTGCTTCTATTCCACCATGACCATCAAATACTGAGTAATAGGAATGGCTAGGACAGTCCTGTAAACAGACAACACTTCTGTATTATTTTACAAATAAAATTTGTAGAGACAGGTCGGCAAGAAACAAAACATGAACATTGTCAGGGTTGTAAAGAAAATGGTGACAATTTTACTGCTTTCACAAAGTAAATTAATATTACCTATAAAGGCATAAAATCAATAAAATTTGACATGTGTTAAAGTTTTTTCAGAAAAAAAAAAGGAAGTGTTAATATTGAAATGGCCTGGGCCATTCTTGTTGTTTTTGTATGTTTTCACTTGTTGACGTAAGCCTTTATTCTACTTATAGTAACATGGGGATGTCTTTCATTTCTTTATGATAACGTATGTAATCGGTGATTGTTTACAGTGATTGTAATGATAAATTTTTTAAAAACAATGATTAGCATATAAGTAATATTTATAACGAACACAATTTGGCAACCTATACGCCTACCTGCAGATTCAACCGATCAAGTTGGCAACCTATTCTGAATAAAGACCAGAATCGCCCAAACTCATCTAGATTTATCAACCAATACAATCCAACGTTACATTGTATAATTAGATAAGTTTTCGAATTAAAACCAAGAACAGTTGCCACAATCATATTAAAGAGGTGCGCTCTCTCCCTAAACATGGCCAATTTTTCAATATTTTAATTTGAAAGACCGTTAATATTCCGAGTCAAAATTCTGATCATCGTAAAAATGTCTGAGCATTTTAAATGGCTGAATGGTAATTAAATAAGCTTTCCAAATATTTTAGTAAAAGTTGGCACAATCAAATTAAATGGGTGCGCCCTTGTCCCAAACATTGCGAATTTTTCAATACTTTAAAAGGGAAAGACCGTTAATATTCACTACGGCCTACTCTTATATCGAATTCCAACTGTCAATGGATCTTTTTACGTGCACGCCAATGTGTACACGGGACCTCAGTTTTTTTTGTCCCATCCGAACGACTAGACAGCTGTACTTGTCAGGCTCTCTGTCCTACATCACATGGACAAGGGGGAACCACGCCAGAATATCTGGATGGACTTTCTCTGCCAATGCAGGAATCAAACACCCGACCTCCAGGCTAGCTAGTCAGCGTCTTGCCTACTTAGCCACCGTGACCCCCAGAATATATTTAGTAGGATGCTCAGAATTTTGTACGATGGTCCAAATTTTGACTCAGGACATTAACGGTCTTTGGGCCATTTAGCATCATTTTATCTATAATTTATAATTCTTTACAACATAGGTCGTCAAATCCAAAACAAAACTCTGCAAAAAAATTGGGTAGAACAAAACATAAAAGGCCATACATAAATACATGCATTATTTTTTCAGGCATTCTAAAACATATTTTACCTTGAGATTAAATAGAGAATTGAGATCTGAGCAGATGACATGTACATCCTCCATTTTTCGACGAGTATTTTTTATAGCATGAACACATACTTCATGAGTTGTGGAATTTGAATTAAGGGGAGGTAACTGTTTTTTCCATTGGTGACAAATTTTATGCACTGTTGCTATTATTTCTTTTAATAACTTTCTTATATCTAAGACTGAAAAAGGAGGAAAAAATAAGGTTGCAAGGCAATGACACATACATCCACAGTTGCTATGTGACTCACACCAGTATGAGTATGATACGTTTGGGAAATATTCACCCTTGTTTCTTGGATTGCTTCCCTTATTGTTTTCAATTAAGTGAAGCCTGTATCACTACAGGCCTGGACTTTAGAATGCAGTGGACACTTTCAACTAGCCCCTAGATAAGTTGACTCGATCTGATATATCCTTGAGGTGTCTATGTATTATGTCCTGTCCATAGGTTAAAGAGCACATAAGGTGAAAAACCTAAATTGCATGTACTTTTGCCAGTGTTTACTATATATGCACTTTACGGCAAGTTAACATCAATCTGATTAAAATTAAGTCAGCTGTCTTCACTCAAAGTCGCAAATATAAACCTGCCATAAAAACGACTTTGCCAATTATTAAGAATACTCTTAATCCCCCCAGATGGCAGTGACGTCACAGTGACCAAATGCATATTAGGCATGTTTATTCCTTAATTATCTATATACAGCCGGCATGTGTATTCATTAACACCTGACTGATTCCTTAATCCCCTGATTAAATAAAACAATTGACTACATAATAATTTGTTTTGTAATTTATTTTAATTTAATTTAAGATCCAATTTAGAATTTGTTTTATAATGTCATGCCCTCTCTTCTCACGACAGAGATTTTAAAACTGTGTTTTAAAGTAACTTTTTGATAGAGTCACCCTACCATCATGTGCAGTCCAAACGATTCGAGATACATTTCCGTCAGAAGAGTATTGTGGTTCTAATTTCCCAGAGTAAAAGAGTACAGGAGTAAAAAGATGTGGTCATGCAAAATATATCATAAAAGTCAAACATGATTGAAACGCAATTTATAAATGACGATCTGTTTTCAGAGAAGTCAACTGTATCTCGTTTTTTTTCCTGTAGCCATTGTACGGCACCTTTGTTTCTGCATGTGGTTTTGACTTCATTACTCTGAAGTAGACCGTAAATGAAATACGAAAAAATATCTCAATATATGTTAGAATTAACAGTACAAATAAAATTTGTTGATAACCATCTAAATCCAATAACAGATTGAGAAGGGTCACTAACTATCTTTGTGTATTAATAATAAAGTGGGAAGTGTAGTGTCGTTAATGGGTCATTCGATGCCAAGTGGAGCAATTTTCAGAAATTTGGGAAATCGTCCCCCTCGAAAAAATCTGCAAAACCTAGAAACTGTGCAAAATTTATGACAGTTGAATGGTAGGTTTCGCATGCTCCTTGGCCATGAAAACCGAAAAAAATTTGGTGTAATTGTATATTTTCTGGATTTTGTAATGCTCCAGGATCTACAAGGTAATAGATATGAGCATTACTTTACGTAATGGAATGAGCGCTCAACAAAAACTCACATTATTATTATTAGATATAGACCCATATTTTGGCCTATCCAGAGATTGCCAGTAGGACTATATATAAGAAACATATAAGAACGTATCAGTCTTCACTAGATTCCCAGAAAATTGGCGTCAAATAGGGTTTTAGACAAACTTTTTCGAAAATTGCCTCGTATTTTCGAGCCGAAAGACCCGGTAGATGAGTACCTAAAATTCTGAAACTTGGTATAATTATAGTTTGTAGTAATGTCTCCAACATATCTTAAAGCCATTCTTGTCCCATGCCATCCCGATATTTTCTCTATTTTTTCAAAATGTGTGGTTTGGGTCATTCCATGTCAATTATCACCCAATGAGTTAAACCGTACCCACTTCGATTTTGCGGAAATATGGTTTATATGTTTTTTAGGGCTGAAAAAGCTGATATTCCAAATTTTAGCTTGATCCGACTAATGGTCCCCGAGATACGGTTCATTATTATTCAAAACACCATAACTCAGTCACTGATAGGTCAAAATTGCTGGAATAAGTATTTCTGGAATGGGAAAGACGTCGTCTTGCTGTTTGAAACATAGTTATCTATCTTTAGGAAAGTCTGCATCAAGTTACTATGTATCATCAGAGCTTATCCACAAACATAATCCTGCTTTAAGTGCAAAGACACTGATTTTGGAATGACCAAAACACAGATTTTGAAAAAATCGCAAAAATATTGAGATGGCATGGGCCAAAAATGGTTTTAACATATGTTAGAGACATTAGTACAAACTATAATTCCACCAAGTTTCAGATTTTTAGGTGGTCATCTACCAGGTTCAATCGGCTCGAAAATATGATAATTTACATAGATTGACCCAAAACACAGATTTTGTAAAAATCGAAAAAATATCTAGACGGCATGGTACAAGAATGGCTTTAACATATGGCTTTAACTATAATCACACAAAGTTTCAGATTTTTAGGTGCTCATCTACCTGGTTCTATCGGCTAAAAAAATATGAGGCAATTTTCGAAAATTTGTGTCTAAAACCACGTTCGAGGCCAATTGTCTGGGAATCTTGTGCATTTTCATATGTTTCTTATGTGGTACTACCGGCAATCTCTGGATAGGGGAAGATTTGGGTCTATATATATATCACTTTTTAGCTCCTGTGGAGCACTACAAAATCCAGAAAATAAACAATCACACCAAATTTTTTTTCGGTTTTTATGACCAAGTAGCATGCAAACCCTACCACTCACCTGTAAGTTCCTGTAACCTAATTGTAGATTCGTAATCTACACAAAAAGTTCTTTAAGACAACCAAATGTGAGCTGTATATCTTCACTAGAAAGGTAAAAATAAGATATGTGACCCCGCATAGCATACTGAGTCACAATGAGGAAATTTTGAAAATTGAGTTATTGTTATTTTCACATTCTCCAACTCATTACCTTCAATTTGATGTATAGTTTGTTTGAATTGGGCAAAATTGACTGAGCTGTGTCCATTAGAAGCTACCCAACTCACAAAAGTTTTGAGAAAAAGCAAGTGAAAGATTTGGTATGTTTCAAAACAAAATCCCATTGCAACCAGGCCATTTATCTGCTGTTTTGTCGTTGAATATATCTTTCCATGGGTTTTCAGGGGTGCTGAAGACGAAAATCGTAGTAAAAATTTGATCTGAATATTTCCGCAATTTATTTGCTGTTTTGTCGTTTAATATGTTTTTTATTTAGGATTTCAAGGGTGCTTACGACAAAAATGGTAATAAATGCACTCATTTCGTAATGAAACATCCACAACACATACGGCATAATATTCACATGATAGTGTTATACTGAAGAACAATCTATACATTAGTAGTCTGTTGTGTATATTATAACTTTGGTGAGATTAACTCAATTAATCTCATCAATTAAATAGCACCTTAGTGCCAGCTAGTGGTCAGGAGATTAAGATTGTTGATTGGATAATCATGAAAGAAGGCGCCACAGCTGTACGCGCGTTCATTTCACACGTGAATTAAAATAAGATTTTGCGTGTACGATAGGTCTATTATTATTTTCAGGTACCGGGACGTTATCAAAATATGAGTCCCTATAGAAATGTCAATTTCATAGTCAAGAAATGCTTACGTTCACTTTTGGCTTTGATGTAAATATCAACATTATTCAGAGGATACTCAATGGCAGACTCGAGAATCGTCGCATTTCGGCTCATTGGTCGTTCTCATTTTTTCGACCCATGGTGATAAGAGAATTTTAAACAATAATATCCCAGATGCATTCCTTACTTTGCATGCCGTATGAAGAAGCGACAGTAAACAGAATTCAGCTATCAATAAAATTCTCTTCGAAAAGAAAATTATTGGCCCTTTGGTTTATTTCCATTCATTTTTTTTAAAGATGATATGAGATATCAAATAATCACCACTTGGATTAATTATTCGGAGTAAATAGTGCTCCTACGGTTAGGACTTTTTGTTATTCGAATAGCCGTAGCTATTAACTGGTTAGTAACCGTTAACCGTATGGTATCAATTTCAAACATAAAACAGAGCTTGTCAGGAGGTACGAGTCATACCTCGTGCGCACGCTATACTCGTCTAAAAAGGCATTACACGCGCAAAAATTTCAGGAATTCTTTAATGAAAATTTAATCTATCTAAGGCCGTAGTTATTTATTTACCTGGTTAACTTGGTTCATTTGAAACATTTTTTAATTCAATATATATCTACGATAATGTCGATAATATACAAAACAATACAGTCCTAAGACCATCTAGAAAAAAGAGCTAAATTTTGGATGTTTGGGTTTGGCCCAGTTCACTGATTTTTAATTGCCTGGAATGCTAATCTAAACAATATGTCCAACTTGAGTGGCATTATTGCTGATATAAATAGTCCAGTTAGATAAGTGTTGATAGCTATAAACCTGCAATTGTGAGTATCAAATGACAACATTTTAATTTCTAAAATAAAAAGCTCTTTTTTATATAAATCATATTTATTATCGATGGTGAGGTTGATAGATAACAGCTTAACACTACTATATACAAATTACTCAATATAACACTTGAAGAATAGCCTAAAAGTATGTAATACAAGGTTGTGGTCTCTTTAGAGGTAAATTTAATATCTGATTGACTTTAAATTAATATCCGTGTTTACAAAGAATCCTATTGATTTTCACCAAATTCCGATAATTACTGCCAGAGTTACATATATCGCCCTTTATCACTTTGAAAAATCTGGTGGACGCTCTAGGGGCTAAAGTTAATATCCGATTGACTTTAAATATATACAGAGTCTTTAAGGTCATCAGACGAAGAAGCCTGTTGATTTTCAACGATTTCTGATAATGACTGCCAGATAGTTATCAACTGATTGATTTTATATTCATACACCGTGTTTACGCCTATATATAATAGTTTCGATTGACTTTAGATTGATACACAGAGTTTAAGGTCTTGAGACGAACAAGTATATTGATTTTCAATGATTTTTGATAACTTGAACAGCTAAATACATGACATTAAGTGTTTTGTATATACATTAGCATGGGCCAAACAAATTCCAATGATTTTCTGATAATTACATAACGAGTTGTTACTCGTAATCAGAT